ATTTTTGTATAAAGGAGAATATCTCGCCCCCCCCCAAAAAAAAGAGGAGTAAAATGTCTTGTATAGACTCAAAATGTGCGTTACTCTCAATGTATCCGATTCATAAAGACTGCCATTATTTTAAGTAAATAGCATAATAATTATTACAATTTTTGAAAACAGAATATAATATGAATCATCGATATCTATCCGCCTCTTCACATTTTAACGCTTTTAAATTTGAGGTTGAAAATTCAGGTGAAACGCTGACTATTCGTTCAGAATTTAATCATTCGATCTTAAAAGCTCATTAAAATAAAGGTTAATAGTATACCTTCTCTTCGTGTTACAAAATTTTAATTCAAAAATAATAACTTTTTAAATACTGATACAGTTGCATGCTTTAGCAATCTAAGCATCCACAAGACCATTTTTACTACGTGTTCAATATGTTATTATCTTCATAACATAAAATTAGTAATGCAACAAGTTTGAGTTTGGCGTAGATTTAGTCAAGATCTCAATCGACTTCGAGGGCAGACAAGTATAGGTCCCTCTTCGTCAGAAGAAAAGAAATCTGCAAGACTTACGCCAAGTTCAAGGTATAGTTGCGTTGCTAATTTTTATGCTTCACTTTCTCTTTTGTTTTCAATTTCATAACAATATGCGTAAACTATTATATAAAACACCTGTCTGAAAATATCAGGTGATCAATAAATTTTTAGAATTGACCCTTTCCGGCACGCTACCTTTCAAAGTCGGAATTTTCATTAAAAAAAAAGGTAGGCACTCTGATTAGGCCTAAAGGAGTACACAAGTAACATTTTGTGAAGATAGCACTTATCGTTTTAATTCTGTGGGTGTGCCCTAAAAGCACACTGATTGAATAGAGCTTCGAAAAGAGTGCTGAAACGAGCATTGTTTTCATTGAACTGACCGTTGAGATGAGGAGAAACAAAGAATACAGACTCTCAGTTGTCCTAGATAATCGGTGAGCCCGGTCTGGGCACACCTAGGGTTCGCCGTTTGATTTTAGGCAAGATTTCAAGGTAAAAATTTAAAACTAATATAGAATAAGGAGATTAGCATACAGCCAAAAAAATAACATAGAAATTTCTTTTCAAACAATTACTTTTATATCCTAAAAAATTTCGAAGATTTTCTTTGAAAAATGAAGGTCTAAAAAAACTAAATATGGCTAAAATATATGGACTGGTTTGTGTTGAGCTGCCATCTACTATAAATAAAAAAGCTTCAGAGTACCTTTAGTAACCTATAAATCCTTTTTCATTCAATTTTTCTGTGCGTACAGAAGAAAAGTTTTAGGTGTGTCCAGACAGTACACACTGTCCCGCAAAGGGTTAAAGGAAGTGCAGATCTATAGAATCTGATACGAATTCAGACGGCGATATAAAATTTACATTGAAAATAAATATTACGTATAGATTTAACTCGAGAAAAATTTCAGTGCAATTGATTGAAGGTTAAAAATGCAGAGCAAGGTAAGTGGAAATGATTACTCTTAAAATTGTTAATGAGCTGAAAGGCAACACCTTTTGTTAACCTGTATACTTTAACACTCTCTGTATTTTCAAACAAATTGCAAATAGCCTCCAGAAACAAAAGCAGAATAAGTTGATCCAGTAGAAATACTGGTAGACGAGAAAAAGCGCTCTAGAGTAAAAGCGCTATTGCTATTCATATCTTGAAAACTCAGCAAGGATTCTTTTTAATTTTCAGTTTTCATGCTCTTATGATAGTAAAAGCAGACTGGACTGAATTCTAGAAGCTATAGAAATTGCCGCTCAGTGAGGATTGTTTTAAACCAATTGAATAATTCAAACTTTACAAAACCTAGTAAATAATTTTTTACCGCCCTCCGACGTGGCAAATATTCTAAACTCGATAAATTTTTAACAGCTAAATTTATATTATAACTACGAAATGTTGAAATGAAAGAAATTTACATTAAATCTATGATACAATATATAACAATAAGCATACATATATATTACCGAACTTAAGCGAAATATTTACAAATATCTCCCTTTATTACATGGTTTATATTATTTTATAATATGTACTGCTGTGCCATTTAGATTTACTTAAATATAAGTTCTTTTAATTTAAATATTTGTTTCTGGAGGAATAAATAATGGGAAGGAAAGTCAAACCAAGTTTATTTATTCACTAAATATATATATTCCTTTTATCGTGATAGTATCTTAACCTTATGAATTTAATTTATTATTACGAATAACACTTACAGTAATATCTTCAGGTAAACAGTATGCGGTATCTTGCCTCTCCCCCTTCCCCCACATTTAGCTGTGATAAGAACTGCAGTGTGAACAGAAATTAAGCTGTTTTCTTAAAAAACACATTAGGAAAAAACATATCAGCACAGTCTTACTTCGCGAAAAGGAAGACTCTTCGTTTAAATGCATCTTCTAATTTGGTTCAGTCGTTAGAGTACCAAAAATGCCTATTATCCCAGAAGGTTAAAGCTAATAGGTCCTTCAAAGGCGGCACAAGAAACAACTAATAAAATTTGCTTTGCCTCTGTAATATAGAGTTAATAAGAAATATATTAAACAAAATCAAATAGAACAAAATTTCATTACTGCCTTGCAACAAAATAAAGATGACGATATTTTTTTAACAGAATGTGTCTGATTTCCAAACGAGAAAGTTCAGCGTGTTAATTAATAATTTCATTAATGGTACCTCTAAGATTAAAATCTGTGGGAAAACTCAGCTTAATGCTCAATACATGCGACAATCAGTCAGCGTGATTGAGTGAAATACATATTTCTCCCTTTACTTGAAGGATTAATCAGTTGATGCGATTCTTTTACAGTATGCATAATCTTATTTAATCATCGATCTGCTGCAATATAATTGTTTTAAATCCGCGGATGTTGTTAAAAAATTATAATTACTGCATTTAAAGAACAATGTGCCGCCCAACCGGAATAGTGGTTAGCGACCATGGCTACCGTTTCGAGGAGCTCGGCTTCGAATGCCGGAGAAGGAATGGATGTTTGTAAAATGTACGGTGTCTGCGCGACATGAGGGCAGTCTAAATATGCGGCGAGCCGAAAGTCCTCTCTAGGTTAGTGGTAGGGGACAGTCAGAGACCCTCGTACCCGTCCCCCTCCAAGGTACTCTTCATCAAAAGTGAGCTGAGTGAAGTCGGATTGTTACCTATATGGTGCCCCAGGCTCTTGCCAAATATAGGCCTAGTCTTAATCCCGTGCCCGGATAAGTTCCATGGGCTTGCTTTGATATCAGAGACCTAATCTGATGTTGCTGTCGATCGAGTGGGATCGGCGTCTCTTTTAAGTGACGAAGTAACGCAGCGGGTTCCTGGGAATACATCCGTACCCTACAACGTAAGTTGATGTGCATGTCTTTTTCCTTCGCATAGCATAAAGTCCCAAAAATGTGAAAGACGGTTATAAAATGGTGAAGATTGAAGAAATAGCAATTATGGCAAGAGTTTCCGGAAAGCAATTATAGCAATAAGTACTAACATATGAAGAAGCAATTTAGAGCTGAATAAATTGAAAATTTAGCAATTTTGGCAATAAAGAAGGCATAACTTGGGCGTGAATCAGTAGAGGGATATAAGTCACAAGAACAACAGCACAGTAGCAAAAAACAATGTGCATGGGTCGATATTCATGATATATAACCTTGATTCTTCAGTAAAATTCTTAAAACATTGATAATTTTCAGTGACAATAGAATTTTAGAGATTTGGTAGATTTACTAAAGCATTAATCCAGATTTGTAATAAATAGTAACATTTTTCAGTAACTTGAATGAAAGTGAGAGTCAAACGTTAAGTTCCTACCCATTAGAGGGAAAAAGTTCCGGAATCTAATATGAAACTGAACCCGTACTTCACAGGTTAATTTATTGTAAATTCAGTCTGAATGACGTTGATAAAGAAATTATTTCTAATGCTGAATTTAATGAAGGTTAAGCTTCGATTATCGTTATTTTTTTTAATAAATACGTTGCTCGGTCAAATGTTTGAACATTTAATAAAATATAAGAAAGTGATCTTAACTCTTATGTTTTATTTTCTTATACAGTTTACGTCATTTTAATTTATGGCACGTGGTGAAAGGATTTAGTTATTCCTTCTGTTTACCACTATCGCTTAGCGTTAAAATGACGAATTAATTTTAATCTCATTAAACGAGAGTTTTCTTAAATGAACTCCAACTTCATTGATTACAGGCAGTAGATACTTTATTGAGTGAAATTTCTTCAGTATTCCGATAAGATATTCATTTATATTTATTTTGTTTTTCTTTATTACTAATTTTTTTAATCTACATTTCCTAAAATTAGTTTCCGAGCCCTTCGCAATGTCTAAACACAGGTAACACTTCAACTGCTACATAATATTCATAAAATTGCTTGCCCGTTGCATAGTTTCTTTAGGAATTTGTGTAACATTTTGCTCATTGACTCATTATACTTTTTGTTAATACCATTAACATTGTTTTGTAATATATTTTCTTCTTATATAAGCATTGGGACTTACAAAGTTGCAAAAAATATTTATTAAAGATAAAAAAACAAACTATTTTGTGTGACAATAATTTTGCTGGATAAAGGTAGACTTGACATTTGGCTACATAAAATTTTGTCCCTTCCATCATCATATGCTGCCTCCGCCGGATAAAGCTTACCCTGATAAAGACTAATAAATCGCTCGTGGTAATCTTCCTCTAGCTTTTTATCTTGTTCATTCTTTCCATTTTGATATACCCTGAACATAAGTCCTTTACTATCTGTCATTTTGTTAATAAGATATCCTAACAATGGTGTATGATTCAACTTATAGTATTAGCCATTCAGATAACTACTTTTCGCATTTTTGCATTTTACCCCAAAGGTATGTACTTAAACAAACGTTCTTTTTTCCGGTTTATTTAAATATTAAACATCAGTGATTGCGTAAGTAAGTAGCCTTTCTTAATGGGCATTTATTTTCTTTTCAGAAAATACCGTATCACTTTCGGATCAATGGCCGCTTCTTGTAGCTCTTGCAGCTTTAGTCATGGGTCTAATAGGAATCATTAGTATGTCCTTGGCATATGGCTTAACTGGAGGCCGGTATCCTTATGATGTAAGTAGAGTTCGTTCTTTCTTTAAGGTAATATTTTTTTCATGTAAGAATTATCACTTCAAGCAAATGAACTCGAGAGCAGAAAATAAATCATATAATAATGAGGTTTTTTTATGCTATACGATAGACACGAATATATGATAAATGCGTTATTTACAAATAAATCTCCATAAACTTAACTTGATAACAAAATTCAGATTGTTTACATAATTAGAAATTTTTGCATTGTTATAATCCTGTTTTGTTTAGTTCATAATGCTACATTACGTAGACATTACAGGACTACTGGTTATGGAAAGATTATTTTGATGTAACATAATTTAATTTATATATTTTATTAATCTTTTCTAACACCGTCAAAAGAGATACTTTGCGCAAAAGTTAACTCTTTTTCAGTAAAATGGCTGTGATTTTATTTTTGCTTAATTTTTGAAGCCATGCCAATCATAACTTAATATTAAAAAACACTATCTTATCAGTAGTAAGGAGCAGGTCCTCGGGAAATAGGAAAAAGTATTATCCAGAGGAACCATGTAACCAAAACTGACGTAATTGGCGCCATGTATGATCTCGTAAGAAACGTAAACAGGCTGAATAATGGTATGTTTCTTAAAGCTTAGTTTTTATTTTGTGGCCATAACCTCTTGAATCACATGTTTGGTAGTTACATTATTTTTAAACTAATTTTTCTTTTGTATATTTAATCATTTAATCTATATTCATTTTTAATGATTTTAATATTCAATTGTAATTTTATTATTTAATCTAACATCATTATTTAATAGTCATTTACAATGGACTAATTGTATTATTTAATTTAATATAGTAATTTTTAATGAATGGATTTGGGGTAATTGCAGAAATTTTAAAAATAATTCCCGCAGCTGGGATTCGAACCTATTGCCTATCGCATGTGACGCGCACGATATCACGAAACCATGGTTTGTTCCTTGAATGTTTTTTGACCTTGTACCAGCGAAAATGACTACGGCATCATTAACTTCAAGGCTTGCGCATGCGCAAGCCTATTTCAACGTACTAAAGTCGTTTCACGCTTTTTTCGCCTCCATGACAGCGAACGAATTCTTCCGGACGAATCACCATCTCGCTAACAACAAATAGAAATATTTCAACCAATCAGCGTATTGTTTCTTGAATTGTAACCGAACATATATTCATAAGGCATTACTTTAGATTTATTCTTTGCTGTTTAAAATGTAAGATTTTCCCACATTTTAAATTTCTCTTTTTTATTTCTAAGCGGTTTTTTTTTTTTTTGTTTCTTTTTATTTCTTACCTTTTTATTAAATAACATTTCTTAATTTTTCATCTCACTTTTATATTTTTTCGAGCGTAAGTTTCGCTTTTAATTTTCGCAAATTAATGTTTTTACATCTTTATTTCTAAAAAAGTAGGTTTATTTTTTACTTTTACCTTTTTCTCTTTAAAATTCTTTTTTTTTTTTTTCTCACTTCTATACTTTAATAAAATTTTCACGTTTCACTTTTTTATTTTACAAAAGTAATATTTATTTTAAGTAATAAGTTTAATCAGTAACATACAAGCAAGGTTAATTAGTAACATACACACGTACTAGTAACGTACAGACGTCACAAAAAAAATTCCGAATTAATTTTAAATCTATTTTACTATCCACTTTGGGAAAAAGTATTCTATATTGACGTACAGACGTCGTGCAAAAAAATCGTCCAGATAGATTCTGGAGCGGTCAAAATGGATATTTCCGTTGAAATATGATACCCAAAATCTTTCGCGATTACAATACTTCCTTTACTTCGTAAAAGGAACTAAAAAGTGAAATGTAAAAACTTTTTAAAAGTAAAAAAGCGAAAAATTAGAAATCGGGGGGGGGACTTTAGAAACGAAGTGTTAAAAATGAACTGATTTTTGTAGAAATAAAAACGTGGAAACATTAATTTGCGAAAATTAAAATTTACCTTTGCAAAAATATAAGTATGGGATGCAAAAATTAATAAATTTCATTTAATAAAAAGTGAGAGGATAAAATAAACTAAAAAAGTATGCTTGGAAAAGAAAGAAAAAAAAAGAGAAATTTAAAATGCGGGAAAATATTACATTTAATGCAGCAAAGTAAATCTAAAGTAATGCCTTAAGAACATATGTTCCATTACAATTCAAGAAACTCACACGCTGATTGCTTGAAATGTTTCTATTTGTTGTTAGCGAGATAGTAATTAGTTCGAAAGAGTTCGTTCGCTTTCGTGGATGCACAAAGCATGATCAAATTTCGAATCGCATGATCAAAAACTTCCCCATAACGTATATTGCATGGATTACGGTCTTGATTAATCTTATGCTTAAAAGGTGTTACTTCCCTGACTGTTAGACCCACCAGCGGCCGAGCGGTAAAGTCGCTGAACACTGGTAGTTCGGTCCGATGTTCGAATCCCGAGAACGGGCTGGCTGCATGGGTGTTTTCGTGGTTTTCCCAATGTGTAACGTGTATACGAGCCAGTTTCCCTTAGAAAGTCCTCCACGAAGGCATCCATCCCCTTAGGCAGATAGCCTTAGTGTGCTTTGCCATAATTAAATACACCACACCACCCTGACTGTTGGAGAATCGCCGCAGTCATTCTATTCCGAAACCGGTCAAAATTTAAATCTCCCCGTCAATTAAAGGCCTATTAGCCTCTTATCATCTCTCTCAAAAATTTATGACTATGTTTTACTTAAACGCCTGAATGAATTCAGCTGTGATCGAAATTTAATAATCTCGGAACAATTTGGCTTCTGGTCTGAACACTCCACGGTACACCAGTTACTCCGTGTAGTCGAATTCATTCACGAGGTCTTTCGTAAACAAGAGAAAACTGGAAGTGTCTATCTTGTATTGCCAAGGCCTTTTGACAGGACTTGGCATGACGGGCTTGTTTACAAGTTCATGCGACTTGGTTTTTCGGCGCAACTCATTAAAATTATCAACTCGTACCTGACGGGTAGATCCTTTCGCGTGCTAATTCGCCAGGAATACTCAACTCCCCGCCCGATCTGTGCTGGGGTCCCGCAAGGAAGTTTGCTCGGCCCTCAAATGTTCAACATTTTCGTAAATGACATACTTAAGTCACCTAATGTCGATTTACCTAGCTTTATATGCGGACGACACAGCCATCATGAACCAACATTCCAACACTTCCATGGTAATTTCTGCACTTCAGAATTACCTTTCAAGCCTAGAGCTCTGGCTAGGACTGTGGAAGATCAAAATTACTGTCTCTAAATGTGCTGCCACTTTATTAATCCCAAGTACTTTCCCAAATTTACCTAACTTGCAGTTCTTAGGAGAACCAAATTCCCTGGGTTCCTACTTATAAGTATCTAGAAGTGATACTTGATTCAAAATCAACTTGGCAACCTCACATCCAAAAAAAGATTTCCAATGCGAAGGTTGTCAAAACCCAATTACTGCCTTTTTTCGCTAGAAATAGCGACCTGTCCACGGAAAACAGGATTTTGCTCTATAAATCAATGATAGGGTCAATTCTGACATATGCCAGTCTTGTATGGGGCGCAGCAGCAACTACTAACAAGAAACATATCCAAATTTTTCAGAATATTACGCTATGGCAAATTTATAAAGCTCCTTGGTTTGTTACGAACGAGGACATTCATAATGCAGCCAAAAGTCTTCCTGTGAATCGCTTTATACAGCGACTTTCGGCTAATTTTTTCCAAAAGATTCTTTCGATCGGAAACCCCGTACTCCACTGCCTGCCTGTTTATCATCCGGGAACTGCATCATCAAGAAAGAGACCCGGAGCTACTCTGGAGAACGCATATAATTTCCAAGAGGCGTTGCTATGGAGACGAGGCGCCTCGAAGGTTGCACTACACTCGTTCGCGTCCCCCCCCCCCGCCTGAGTGAATTTTCTGATCTTTCAGCTTCCCTCAGGGTCACTCTCTCTTTGTCCTGTAATCATGCAATCTGACTTCTTTCAACCGCAAGCGGTTGTTAACTGACTTTAAGTACGCTTTTGCTCCCTTCTTAAAAGGGTTCTAGTGCATTGATTATTATTTTTATTTAATTTTAACTTAATTTCACTATGAGAATTAATACTATTTTTCATTAGTTGACATAACGCTTAAAGCTAAAGTAATCATTTTGTATTTATAAAAGTTTCTCCTCAGAGGCATTGCTGGCCGTCTCCCTCCCTCCCAGACCCGAAGAACAAGTTTTTCGCGAGTATTCCGCTTTCGTGTTAGATTAATTACAAATTTATTTTTGGTATGTTTTAAGAATACAGCAAAATTTATGTCACAATTAACTTTTAACATGTTATTTAATCAAAAGTAATATGGGCTGTACTGTGTCCTTAAATCTGTATTTTGTATATTATAAGTACAGCACAAAGTAAACAAAGAGTATTTCTGTGTGTAAAAAAAAAAAAAAAAAAAAAAAAAAAAGTGTAATTTGTTTGTAATGTGCAATTTTGCTCTTTATTTAAAAGCTCTTAATTTATTTATCTGTTGTATCAAGTTATTTATTTAAGTCTGTCTTATATAACGAAGTTATGTACTATATAATCCAGTTATGTCTTATTTAAACAATTACATTGTTCAGAATCTATGTTAAATTGTCAAGAATAATGTTCAGCCTAATATGTTGCAAAGAATATATAGTGTAGTAAGTGTAGCATTGAGTTGTAAATGTGCCTTAAGTACAGTGCAATGATCAACGCAATGCATATTATGAAATGTATATTGTAGCGAGTATGTGTAGCAATGTGTTAACATGCGATGTATCCAGGAAAATGTTTAATTTCGCATGCAGGAAAATCTATATTTTGCCCTTGTATGGTAATGTACTTTACCCTTGTATTGTTTTCGGAGTTTAGCTTCAGATAGTTGCGGGATCCGACGATACCCGATTAGTCTATGTAAGCCATCCGGGTGTCCGGACGTCCTGTCACCTGTTAACACCACATGACCATTGATCAAGAAAATGTCGATGCTTGTCAAAA